CCCACGTAGCTACACTTTTGGGGAAAATAAAATACTGCCTTGAAAGAGTCAAATAAAAAAAAGGAAGAAATAAAATAACATGGAAATCAAATTGACTGAAATGGAGCTCACGTGGGGGAAAACAAAAGTAAAATAAAATAAACTGCAATCAAGTAATGGGATTTGATCGAATCAAATTAACCCACCCATGACCCACTTGGCATGGTTCTTGAAGCGGGTTTGGTTCGTCAAACGGTTCATCAGTTGGGCTCTGCCTATCAGTGAGTCTTGTAGTCTTTATGTTCTTTAAATGGGCATTTTGTTGATCGCGAGCTTCTCTAGTGAGTTTGTAACTATTGAAGAGATGTGACAAAGAGATAAGGTCATGGTAAGTGTCGTCTCAATAGAGTTTCATCTCTTTGCCACTATTTTCTGGATTACATGTCGACATTGGAATCTAATATCTTTCATCTTCAATATATGCACTTGAGAAGTAACAGGTGTTCAATCGCTTCAGAGCTAGCTCCTTAGCCAACTTGATTAAAATTGGTCAAAGGTGCTAATAGATTTCCTCTTTTGTGATCCAAACATAGCACCAATTATTTACTTCAGCTACTTGGATTGAAAATAACTACTAATACGATAAAAAGCTCTCACCTACATAATATACTCATTAACCAACATCAACTAGTAAGGAGTTGGTACCAAATCAAAAACATTGTATGGTTGTGCCAAAACTATAAAAGAATATATAGAAGCACAAAAATCAAACGACCAGCAAAATAGTCGATTGGAACAAGAGATTACAACCCAATATTGTAAGAAAAATATTGATCACTTATCAAGCATTGTGTTTTTCTAGTAAACTAGAGTGCATCATCAAATAGTAATACGACTAAGTGGAGCACTAAGGATAAAAGAACATACCTTGAAATAGTTACCAACAGGAGAAACATAAATTAGAAAAGTATACTCGGGAGCTGGTGCAAGACCAAGTACACTTCCACTCCCCATAAGTAACGGCCTTATGTATAATGAACCTTTACCTGGAGGAGGTATCTAAAAAGAGCAAAAAGGAGTTGCTATCATTGGTGGTCATATAAGTCTCAAATAGAATTACAATAAATAAAAAACTTAGTTACTCTTACCCATCTTTCATTTGCCAAGACAGTGGCCTTAACAGCTTCGACAAACTGACTAACGGAAGGAGAAGGCATGCACATACGCTCTGCCCCCATCATCATCCTTGCAGCATTTTCTTCGGGACGAAACAGTAAAATACTACCATCTACTTTACGGTATGCTTTCAGACCTTCAAACAATCCCTGTGAAAAATAAGAGGGAAAACATAAGTTAAGCTAGCACTCACAAATAAGTAAATTAAAGAAACAAGTCAAGTAATTCATCGCTTTCTATTCAAGATTAAACTGCAAAGAGACACAAGGGCTAATGATAAGCCACCCATTAGATTCAGCCGGTAAGGACGTAATTTTTTAAGAACACCCAATCTCCAGGTGCAAAGACAACATCTTTTCTTTTTAAGTCGGCCTGTTGCTTCATCTTACATTGAGACTTCAACAGATGCATCCTGACCTCATCCCTAATTTCATTTCTGCTCATTAATTCTTGTTCTACGGACTGCAAATTTGAGGAAGCAGATTTATAACGTATCAAGGGTGGAGGATCTCTCCCATAAAGTACACGGAAAGGAGAACATCTAAGTGAGGTATGGAATGAAGTATTTTAAGACAACTCAGCCCAAGACAACCATTTACTCCACTGCCTTGCTATGTCCGAAACACAACATCTCAGATATTGTTCTAAGCATTTGTTCACAAATTCCATATGCCCATCCATTTGTGGGTGGTACGCAATACTAAACCTGAGTTTAGAATCTTGTAGCTTGAATATCTCTTTCCGAAACACAATTTGGAAAATCTTATCTCTATCGAAAACTATGGATTGGGGCACTCCATGTAGCCATATTATTTCCTTTGCAAAAACTTCAGCAACCGATTGAGCAATATATGGATGTTTCAATCCAATAAAGCGGGCATACTTACTGAAATGGTCTACAACCACCATAATGGTGCTCTTACCATCAGCGCTAGGTAAGCCTTTAATAAATCCATCGACATTTCTTCCCAAATTGTGAAGGGCACAGATAGAGGTTGTAACAGACCCGCTAGAGTGCCACTTAAAGTCTTATTCCTTTGACAAACTTCACAACTTTTCACCAAGTCATTTTTTTCTATCCTCATGCCCACCCAAAAAATCTCAGTAGCTATGCGCTTTATAGGAACGATCCGCCCCGGTATGACCTCCGGTCGGAGATCCATGAAACTCCTCAAACGGTAAAGGAATGAACTTGGATGTCCTGGATATTACCAACCTGTCCTTGTGCAGCAGTAAACCTTGTTGTAATTCAAATCCTTTATGGATTGTAGTGTCTTCTTGCATTAAATCAGTCTTTAACTTCATAACAAATTCATCTTCCTCAATTTCACGTTTTAAATCATCCCATTGTCTCCACTCTGGTTCGCCCAAATTTGAACATTCCAAATCATCTTTTTTCCAAGATTGAGCATACGCCGCCCAATTTACACATCCTGGTTTGTAAACAATCAAAAAGTCGTAACCCAACAACTTACTCATCCATCTTTGATACTCCGGTTAACCACCCTTTGTTCCAACAGGAATCGAAGACTACACTAATCACTACAGACGTAAAATGCCTTCCCAAAATATACGGCCTCCACTGACGTACAACAAAAAGTACAGCCATCAGTTCTTTTTCGTAAACAGATTTCTGTTTTGCTCTCAATCCCAAAGATTGACTGAAATAGGCTATAGGCTGCTCGTTTTGCATCAGAACAACTCCCAACCCATAACCTGAAGCGTCCGTCTCGATGACAAATTCCGCCGAGAAGTCAGGAAGTTTCAAAATAAGTGCAATTCATAACAACTTCTTCAATTCCTCAAAGGCTGATTGGGCTGCTTCTGTCCAGAGAAACTGATTCTTCTTCAATTCCATACCCTTTAATGAACTTCCAGTAATAACCGGACAGTCCCAGAAACCCACGTAACTCGGTAACTGTAGTCGGGACTTTCCATTCTACGATAGCCTTTATCTTAGACTCGTCTACCTCTACACCCTCATCCAATATAACATGCCCTAAATAACCAAGTTTATCATGGCCGAATTCACACTTTTTCTTATTAGCGTAAAGCTGTTGTAGGGACAAAATGTCAAGAACAGTCTTCAAGTGTACTAAATGTTCCTCCTAAGACTTAATGTATACCAATATGTCATCAAAAAGTACCAATACAAACTTTCGTAAATAACAACCAAAAATTTCATTCATTAAACCTTGGAAGGTCATCGGCGCATTGACCAATCCAAAGGGCATTACGAGAAACTCATAATGTCCATGATGAGTACGAAAAGCCGTTTTCAGAACATCTTTCTCGTTCATTCTAATTTGATGATAACCGTACTTCAGATCCAATTTCGAGAACACTCGGGCATCATGCAATTCATACAGCAGCTCGTCGATGACTAGAATAGGAAACTTATCCACCACCATTAACTTATTTAGGGCTCTATAATCTATACAAAACCTCCACCTCCCATCTTTTTTCTTTACTAGTAATACAGGACTTGAGAATGGACTTGCTGATAAGTATCAACTTATTTGATGCTTTTACACTTTTTCTTACGTCATTTATCCGTTTTAGTTTCCCAAAATTCCACAAATTGAGTCTTTTTGTTTTTTTTTCTATCTTTTTTTATATTGGAGTTAAATTGATGTAATGACATGTTTACTTCTTGGGTATGTGCTGACTTTTTGGGAAAAGCCATGTTAATAGGTGTTTTGGTTGAAGCATGCTACAGCATGTGCTGTAGGATGATTCCAGGGGCGTTTTTGATAATAGTACGGATGATCTTTTGACGTCTAATCCTCTTTTTTGACAGCCCATCTTCTGCAGTTTTAAAGATCTCATGGTACATGTTGAAGATTTTCTCTTTGACAATCTTTTGGATAAAGATTGCTTTACCTTTTGGACAATGTAAATAGTTGGATATTAGCTTTATTTTTGGGTCCTTGTCCTCCCTTCTCCTACTATATAAAGGAGGGATTTTTGGCTTTTGAGGTAAGCAATTTGGAGAACAACTTTGGATGTAATTTGGAAGTTCACTTGGATACAAAAATAGTGTTCGGAAGTATTTTAAATTCTCTTTACATTTAAGTCTCCTTTATAATTCTTTTTAGTATTTATTTCTTCTACTTATTTTTATTTCTTGTGCTTTACTTATTATGCTTTATTATTTATGCAATTAATTTTATCATTTCAAGTATGGTAGGCTAAAAATATAGCTTGGGTATTGGGTGACGTCAAGAAAAATACCGATTCCGTTTGTAGAAAAATAAATAATAAATCTTTCCAACTACGTCATTCAAGTTTATATTGTAAAAACATCATCCATGGACAAGTTAATCACTTGTTTAAAAGTGTTACAGTGTGTTGGATTTAGAGATAAACCAACAAGCACACGTCAACTTGAATGATATGGAAGTAGGCTCGAGAGAGCTACTTAGAATCGAGGAGATTCGTTTTCACGCCATTTAGCTTATATAAGGAATAGTTTGATCAAATGTCGAGACTCCAACTTTGCATAGAGATATGAAGGCTTAATCTATGACTGTGCGTCATTCTACATCTCGAGAGATTACCTTAAAGAAGCTATTAGTTGTAAAGAAAATTATTTATAAAGCATGCTATAGAATCATGTTGTAGCATGCTATAGAATCATACTATAGCATGTTGTTTACTTAAAGATCGGTTTAATATCTTAACAAATTCCTACACCCTAAGCTCTATTTTATTACTTGTTCACAACAGTAGTGTTAAACCAACTCACCACAAATATTTCTTTGAACTCACCATCTGAAATCATATCTTTATCTAGACTGTTAAAATGAACTTTATTTCTTTTCCCCGTGGACGATATTCGGTACTTTTCCACTTTATTGCTTGTAAAAGACAATAGTAAATTGATAAGTGTATACTTGCACTAATCTCCATTTGCTAACAGTCCGAGAGATTTATTTTATATAATTCTCGTAACACTTGCACTCGGCCGAATCACTCCTGTCTCCAGCATTTCTTTAACTAGCTTTTCAATCTCATCTTTTTCATAATGAGGGTACCTATACGGTCTCACATTCACTGGTTCGGTTCCATCTTTCAACACAATGCTATGCTCTTTTCCTCTAACCAGAGGCAATCCATGTGGCATATTGAAAACCCGTTCAAACTCCTGTAATAAAGATTCCAGCCCCGAATTCATTTCTTCCCGCTCTTCATTCTCTGTTTCACATGAGCCCAATTCAACTAAAATTCCATGACCCTCCTGTTGGATTTCCCTTCCCATTGTTTTCAGTGACACTTTAGTTCTTCCAAAAAGATGGATCACCTTTAATCGCGACAGATTTTCCCCCGACCATGAATTTCATTACCTGTTGTTTCCAATTAATGTAAGTGGTTCCCAACCACTGTATACTTAAAATCACATCACTGTTGCTAATTGAATAGGCAAAAAATCCTCCACGATATCTAAATTTTGGATTGACAGCATTATACTACAACAGTTTCCCTCTCCTTTCACCGTATTTCCCGTACCCATAGTAATCGTATACTCTTTCGTTTTCTTCACTTCTAAATTCAACTTATTAACCACCTCTTTCGAAATAAAGTTGAGTCGCGCCGCTGACTATTGAGTACTACAACGTTCTGATCTCCAATAATTCCTTCTATTTTCCTCGTCTTCAGGTTAGTAATACCAACAAACGAATTCAAATAAACCTCGACTTTCTGTCCTACATTGACCACATTAGTCGAGCTCAATAATTTATCCTCTTCCACAGCTTCCTCCTGGATGAAAATCACATTCAACTCTTTTTATACATTCGTGCCCTGGTGAATACTTTTCATCACATCGATAACATAAACCGAGATCGCCTCTGTTGAACCTCTTGATCGTATAACCTCCTAAACTCCGATCTAGAACTTACTTTCGAGTCCGGAGACGAGACTGAATTCGATCTGCTGCTCTTAGCTTCGAATACAAAACTTGAATTCTTCCTTCCTATATACGTTGATCTCTCCCTGCTGATCATTTTATTTGACTTCGATTTCGGAAGCGTCTCCATTGCCTACCTTAACGAAATTGGACTCGATAGACGCAGTTCGGCCTCAATCGAATTTTCCAATCCATTAATGAATTGGTTGAGAAATACCTCTTCAGGTATCTCATCAGAGG